GCTTTTGCCAAAAATATTAAGCTTGGAATTCATGATGATTCTCAGAATTGGTACAAGTTAGCCGAATTTCTTCATTAATATTATAATTAATAAATTTGCTCTTCTGTTGACTAAGATAAAAATTATTCTATGGTGTTGAGGCTAAATTTTTATAAAGGTTAATCTCAAACAAATTCAATAAACTCTTTTTATTTTTTGATTCAACAGCATTTGAGATTTTTGGTGTTCCAACTTGCTATCACCATAAACATTACTCTTATTTGGCTTTTTTGAATGTCTAATTTAAGCCAAAATTTGAAGTTACTTTATTTCACACTTTGGAATTATAAATTTTAGTTAACTTAAATTACTCATGAATATAATTTAAGAAATTAAGTATAATTCCAGAGAAACAAAAATATAATCCCAGGCAAAATAATTCTAGGCAAGTAATATTAAGTATAATTTCGGGCATAATTAAATATAATCAGACAAAAAAATTCATTCCAAGTAAAAAATTTATATTTAAATTAGGCAAATTGATATTGTATAATTCTGGGCAAAAAAAATAAATTAAAATATAGATTAAGGCAAATTATTTAATGTAACCATCAAAGGTGATGCAAACAAATCATCATATATTATTCCAGGTGTTTTTCTAATTATTTAATTATCAAGGCCTAATTGAATCATCTTGAAAATTCTGCTGGCTAATAAAGAAGGTTCTTCCAAACTAAAACCAGAATATACAAGTGATGTTTCAAAAAGAAGCCATGTAAGGTCTTTAGCAATCTTGTCATTCTTATCAGTCTCAACTTTAATTTTAAGTGATTTAATGATTGAATGGTGTAGATTAATTTCCAAAATCTTTTTAGATGATATATATGATGCCATACTAGAATCAAGTAATGCCTGAGCTTTCATGATACGTTTAAAGTTGGCAGACCAACCATATTGCCCTGTTACAAGAACACATGGCGACACTGAAATATGATTTGAAACAATAACCTAAAAAATAAGATATATTTTAATATAGTTAAAATAAAATAAAAAACTTGTTTCACTTTAAATAAAAAAATTTTTTGCCTTTACGACGTTATCACCAAGAATTTCTTTAATTTGCTTGCACAAATAACTATATTTCTTAATTTCTTCTTCACGCATTTTCTTCTCTTCCTCATCTTCATCAATCTCAAGCCCTTCTTTTGTGATGCATACAAGTTTCTTACCTTTGTATTCTTTAAGTTGCGGGGTCGGTCATAAGTAAGACTTCATATCCTCATTTTTCAAATACCTCAAGAAATGGCGAATTCTTAACAGCTTGACGATTTTCTGCTATAATGTAGTAAATATCCTTTTGTTTTCCTCGCATATGTGTAATATAATCTTTTAGAGAGATAAGTTCATCGGTGGATTTTGTGAAATAATAATGAAGAAATTCGGCTAACTTGTACCAATTCTGAGAATCATCATGAATTCCAAGCTTAATATTTTTGGCAAAAGC